AGTCTACAGAGTCAGAAATTTTCATTTCTAGGTTGGGCTCTTAGATTTGCTTTGAAGTTTTCAACTGAGTCCATGTTGCTCAGTTTTTTAAATTTATTCTAATTATTCTAATATGTGACAGCAGAATGCATTTCAATTCATATTCCACATATATAGCACAATTATTTATATCTCTGGTTGTATACAACATAGTCACACCATTTGTGTCTTTGTACATGTACTTAGAGGATTGGAAAGCAGTATGGAGATTCTTTGGAAAACTAGGAATGGAACTACCGTTTGACCCAGCTATCCCACTCCTCTGTCTATACTGGAGGGACTTTAAAACAGCTATTACAAGGATGCAGCCACATCAATGTTTATAGCAGCACAATTCACAATAGCTGAACTGTGGAACCAACCTAGATGTCCTTTAGTAGATGAATGGATAAAGAAAATGTGATATTGTGTGTGTGTGTGTGTGTGTGTGTGTGTGTGTGTATGGAATATTCCTCAGCATTAAAAGAGAAACATCATGGCATTTGCAGGTAAATAGATGGAGTTGGAAAATATAATGTTAAGTGAAGTAAGCCAATCCCAAAAAACCAAATGCCAAATGTTTTCTCTGATATAAGGATGCTGATTCATAATGGGGATGGGGCAGGGAGCATGGGAGATGAACTCTAAATAGGGCAAAGGGGAGGGAGGAGAAGGGAGGGAGTGTGGGGGGTAGGAAAGGCAGTGGAATGAGTTTTCTCACTTTTAATTAAAGGATAACTAGACCAACACAGTATTAAAGTACCATGTTGAGAAAAGTGTTTTATGATCCAGAGATCACAATTCCAAGGTAAAGCCATAAAGAATTCAATCGCTTTCATTAAAAAGCTGATTTCAAGGGGCTGGGGTTGTGACTCAGTGGTAGAACACTTGTTTTGCATGTGTGAAGCACTGGGTTTGACCCTCAGGACCACATATAAATAAAAAAAGTATTGGGTCCATCTACAACTAAAACAATTTATTTTTAAAAAGGTCATTTCAAGTAGCACTAATCTTACAGGAACTCTATAGATGTTCAGCTCTAATCCACATTACATAGAAATTCAGAAAGGCTCTTAGGTTTCAAGGTTGAGAGAAAGTGTGACATTAATAACTGTGCTCTTTAGGAAGCTGTTTCTAGTTCGTGCCAGGTCCTTGAAGCCTATGAAAGAAACAAGTTTCCTTAAGAATCTTTAGAGTTAGTCAAGTTCAATATAGCCTGAAGGTAAGTTTCTCCTTCAATAGTCCTTCTCAGCTCACTACATTAAGAGACCCACAGTCTAGGTCTTTCTTCCTCCTATTCCAAATGTCAGAGTTGAAATGTGTTTGTGTATTTATTGCCATGGGGCTTGGCATATAGGGTATTTTTTGGTCCTTGCTCACCTGGCATATGGCCCAAATGCCATTAATGTTGGCTTTACCAGTGTGTACAAGTTGCTCATAAACCAAATCAAGATGTGAACAACAGCTGGATTCTTATTTTAAAGGAGTAACATGATTCCAGGGAGGAAATCAGCTTCCAGGTCTTCTGCTCACATTGGATTTGGTCTGGTTTCCCCCCATACAGTGCCAGCAACTACATGATTACTAGGGTTTGAACTAGATATACAGGTAGACAGGCAATCACATGCCCACAGTATGATCTCAGAATAACTCATGTTTCTAGAATGTTGGGAAATTCAGACTTGGCTGAAAGACTTTGTCCTTAGAGTATAGGGCTATGAGTGGTTGATATGATTCAGCAGTAAGTAAATTCTGATCTGAATTTCAAAACAATTGGGCATTTGCCCAAGGTGACATCTGAACTGCACATATTCTTACCAAAGATGGAACAGTCCTCAGAGCGGGTTGATCCTTGAACCAATTCAAACAGATTAAAATTAGATTGCTTTCAAACTCAAAAGAAAATCATTTTGGAAAAGTTGCCATTTTCAAAGGCACTATAATTGCTCTCAGTGAATACAACAGGGGATTCTGTACACCTTTACTTAGGCAGCCTCCTGTGCTTTTCAGTCTCTGCCTCCTTCCCAGCCCTATACTGGGGATTGAACCCAGGGCCTTTGGTATGCTAGACAAGTCCTCTTCCACTGAGCTTCATTTCCAGCCCTTTTTTGAGACAGGGTCTCACTAAATTACAGTGGCTGGCCTGGAACTTGGATCCTCCTGCCTCAGCTTCCAGAGTAGCTGGGATTACAGGCCCTATGAGCCACTATGTCTGGCTCAACTGCTTTTTTTTTTTTTT